TAGATAGATAGATAGATAGATAGATAGATAGATAGATAGATAGATAGTTGAGAGAGATTATAGATAAATGGATAAATAGAATGATAGATTAACAGCTAACAGGGTTGATAATAGATGATAAATGATAGAGAGATGAGAAAGAGAGAGAAAAGAGATTATAAATAAATGGATAAATAGAGTGATAGATTGATAGCTAACAGGGTAGACGATAGACAGATAGAAAGATGGATAGACAGGCAGGCAGGTAAGTAAATAGTAGAGAGAGAGAAAAAATTATAGATTAATGGATAGACAGATGAGAAAAAGAGAGAAAAGAGATTATAGATAAATGGATAAATAGAGTGATAGATTGACAACTAACAGGGTTAATAGATGATAAATGAGATGATAGATAGATAGATAGATAGATAGATAGATAGATAGATAGATAGATAGATAGATAGGAGAGGGAGAGAGAGAGAGAGGCAGACAGACAGACTCACCCTCGTGGTTGAAGTCATAGATGTAATCTGGGCAGGGTATGGAGATCACTTTTCCTGGAGCTGCTTCTGGCCAACAGATGAGGTTGTCCCATTCGGGGACACAAAATCCATCTGGAAAACAGACAAGGAAGTGGTAGAAGCTCAGGTCACTGCACCTCTTGTTGGGTGGAAAGCCAGCCACACATTCGACAACCATTCAAAGTAGCAGCGGCAGTGAAAAAAGTGACCTATGACCATTTTTCACACTTACAACCATCGCAGGGTGCATCCAAATGATCAAAATTGGGACAGTCGAGTTGGCAACTGGCTCATATTTATGGCAGTCGCAGTGTCCTGGGGGTCACGTGACTCCCTTTTTGCGACCTTCCCAGCTGGCTTCCAACAACCATAGTCAATGGGGGAAAGCCGAATTCGCTTAACGGCACATGATTCACTTAAGGACTGCCATGATTTCCTTAACAACTTTATTAAAATAGGGACAACGATACATATAGAGAAATATTCAACACAACTGTGTAACTCCATAACACTTTCTTTTTCTTCCTGGGATATATTTCTCTCCTTGACATATTAGAACAGATAACTGTGGTTTGTTTGTCTGTCTTTATCAAAGCTAAAATTATGCCATAAATTCTGGGAGTCCTTCCTCCCTTCCTCCATTTCTTCTTCCTTCCTACCTACCTACCTTCTTCCTCTTATTTCTTTTTGTCTCCTTCCCTCCTTCCTTTTTCTTCCTTCCTTCCTTCCTTCGATTATTCCTTCCTTTCCTCTATCCCTTCCTCCTTCCTTCCCTCCCTCCTCTTTTCCTTCCTCCTTCCTTCCTTTCTTTTTCTTCTGTACTTCTTTCCCTCTCTCTTATTTCCATCCATCCTTCCCTCCTCCTTTCCTCCTTCCTTCCTTCCTTTTTCTTCTGTCCTTCCTCCCTTCCTCCCTCCTTCTCTCCCTCTTTTTTCCTCCTTTCTTCCCTGTTTTTCTTTTTCTTTCTTTGTTTCTTTGTTTCTTTCTTTCTTTCTTTCTTTCTTTCCTTTTCTTTCTTTCTCTTTTCTTTCTTTCGTGCTTGACTCAACATCTGCTCCATGTGGGAAGCCCATGACAACCAGCTGCATCTCGGCAAGGAAAGAGACGCCAGCCCAGCCAGCCTCCAAGGTGTTTGCATAGCAGGATAGCATATAAATCACCCCTAGGTTAGGCTGGCACTCTGAACAGGGCAGAGGCGACCGCAGGCGGGCTGGATCTGGTGGGCTCTTGTGGCGATTCTATTACGGGAAGGACTGGCCGTGCTTGGAAAGAAACAGAAGGCAGAAACCTCAAGAGTACCAGAAAAAGACAGGGGGGGCGGGAAGGGAGGGGAGGGAAAGGAGAATAACGGAGGAGAGGAGAAGAGAGGGAGGGAGAGGAAGGACGGGGAGGGAGAGAGGAAAGGGAAAATAAAGAAAAGGAAGGAAGGAAAGAAACAGAAGTAAATAAGAGAGAAAGAAAGAGAAAAAGAAGAGAGACAGAATAAGGAAGGAAGGAGAGCGGGAAGAAAGGAAAGGAAGCAAAAGAGGGAGAGGAGAGAGGAAGAAGCATGGAAGGAATGGTGAGAGGAAGGAAGGAAGGAAGAGTAAAACATGTAAGAAAGAATAAAGGAGCAAGCAAGCAGGAAAGAAAGAATTAATAATAATAATGAAAGAAAGAAAGAAGGAAGGAAGGAAGGAAAGAAAGAGAAAGAAAGAAAGAAAAGAAGGAAAGAAAGAAAGAAAAAGAAAGAAAGAAAGAAGAAAGAAAGAAAGAAAGAAAAAGAAAGAAAGAAAGAAAAAGAAGGAAAGAAAGAAAGAAAAAGAAAGAAAGAAAAAAAGAAGGAAAGAAAGAAAAGAAGGAAAGAAAGAAGGAAAGAAAGAAAGAAAAATAAAG